GTTAGTGAAATCATCCACGAATACAACCTCGACGGCCGCGTCGGGTATTTTGTCACAGACAACGCAGAGAGCAACGACACGTGTCTCGATGAACTTGCTTGCGAGCTTGGCTTCAACAAGCAGCACCGCCGGTTACGATGCTGTGGGCACGTCATTAACCTTGTCGCGCGATCCATCTTATTTGGGACGGATGCTGACGCCTTCGAGGAGGATTGCCGAGCCGACAAGGAGCTCCAAGACGAGATGAAGTTGTGGAGGGCCAAAGGCCCGATTGGTAAACTGCATAACATTGTGCATTGGGTTCAACGATCTGGCCAACGCATTGAAAAACTCCACAAGCTTCAAAGCATTGAAAATACGGCGCTGGGCATTGAAGACAAAACAACCTACGATGTGATTACGGACAATGCAACGCGATGGAACTCGTCTGAGGCGATGATGGAGCGAGGCTATCAGCTTCGGAATCCTCTCGACTCTCTTATCCAGGCAGAGGTTACGGAGTGGGGTCAGTACGTCGCCGCGAGGACTGCAAATGGGACAAGGCCGATGCCAAAGAGAAGTCGGAAGAAGCCTGCAATTGTTGACGATAAGATGACCAGTGAAGACTGGGCAGTGATTGCGGAATACCTGGCCATATTGAAGCCACTGAAGATAGCCACGAAGCGGCTAGAAGGCAGACCTGAGGAGGGCAAATATGGGGCGATCTGGGAGGTTCTGCTGACGATGGAATGGCTTCTGAAGCATCTGGAGGAGTCTAAGATGCAACATGAACACGATGAAGAGCCTTACTTGCGAGTTGGTTGCAACCTCGGCTGGATGAAGCTGGATAAGTACTATGCACTCACTGACGACAGCCCGGTTTACCTTGCCGCCCTTGTCCTTCATCCTGCCTTTCGTTGGCCCGCCATCGAATCTCAATGGGCTGATCATCCTGAATGGTTGGAGAGAGGTAAAGCAGCTGTGCGAGAACTGTGGGAAGAATATAGAGGGTTGCCCATCGAGCAGGATGCGGCTTCGGAACCACCCATGGCCGCGAGAAAAACAACCGACTTGGACGAATTCATGGCGTCGGTCAGGAAGCTCAGCACTCAGCGCGCACCAGCGACACCATCTACACGAGATGAGTATGCCGAGTGGTTATCCACCCCAGACCCTGGTGACTGCCTGGTCGATAACCCGATTCAGTACTGGCTCCTCCGGCGACGACAATATCCGAACTTATCGCGAATGGCGATTGATCTCTTCTCAATTCCAGCGATGTCTTCTGAACCAGAACGGATATTTAGTCTTACAGGACAGATGATCACGCCGTCAAGAAGACGGCTGCAGGCAGATATTGTAGGAGCGGCGCGGTGCATCTCGTCGTGGGAGAAAAGTGGGGCTATTCAAATTATCCAAATAAATCCAAATCTACCGAAGTGAACTCAAATCAAATTCAA